AGACTAGGTGCGTTCCTCTCAGTCTTCCTACCAACATGACCAAGTTGCGAAAACAAGGTCAAACAACCTTGTGAGCAATTTTAGTTTATAAACCGCTCAAATCTAATCAACATCATTCGGAAAATATGCATGATTGCAGGTAGGTATGCATGTATGTGTGTGTATGTATGTGAGTAAATATGCACCATAGACATTGATGCAACTACAGAATGTGATATTGGAGTCCCAGCCTTCTTCGAAGAACATATCTGCCCCGTAAGCGCTGTTACTGGTGCCTGTCTGGCAGTAGTGGTTTGGTGAATAATTCTGTTTAGAATACCACCCCAGGTGCTGCTGAGACTCAGGCGTGAGCGAACTTGCAGCCTAGCTCTGATGAGAAAGCCTTTTTAGTATTCAATGGAGTTGTAGGACCTTAAACTTATCTGAAAGTAGTTCTTACATCACTTTACGCGACTTAGGATGACTCAGATGCTTATTTTAGGCAGCGCGCGACTAGAGGTCCAGAGATATCTACTGTTACCCATCAACACTATTGAAATGCAAATTCACTTTTAAGATACCCGCATCCACTTCTACCCAGTTGAGTGATTGATGCTCTGACAGTGTCAGAGTGGTCTCTAATCCTGTAAGAGGGGCTAATGAGAAGTGGAGGAATTTCGAAAACGCCACCTACTCTGGTCGAGAAAGTGTTTTGAGAAGCAAGGCTGAGTGAAATTCACCAACACAGAGGAGTGTTCTTCTGTCATGGTGAGCAGGCTCAACTAGCGGGACTTCGCTTTTAAAACTCATTTTTGGATGACGACTCTAAAGCTCTGGCCAATCAATATCGCGTAAATAGGTAGCAACATTTTTAAAAAGGATGTAAATATTTGAAAATCACCTGAGATTTGTGTTGTGTGGAAAATGAAGACAACAATTAAGGATAAGAGAATTACATAAATCTTTATACTGATTAATAATGTAAATTTCGACATCTGTCGAGAAGCAATGAGGAATTTAGAGAACACAATTCATTAATTTTCAGACTTACATCAGGCAATTCTCGTGCGGGACACATCCGAATTTCAGGGAAGACATAGGAAGTGAAAGTAGGGATGATGGCAAAGGTGATGACGATGATGAAATATGAGTAGAAGTTGGGAGTTTGCACGTAGTGGTTTCGGATTCCGTTTTGTGTGAGATTGAAGAATGAGGCAGTACGACATTCTGATAGGTAGAGGACATGTGAGGATGTACGTTGGGACAGGAAGTAGGTAATTCAGAGGAAAGAAGAGAGGGATGTGAGTGGCGAAATACAGTATAATGTGCGTCTGCATGTGGTCCAAGGATAAGAGGGGAGCTGAGAGCAGACGGTTTGGAGATAGCTTGTCCATGGTTTGCATCTTTATCAGAATTGTTGTCGATGCCAGTCAGCAAGTCGGCATTAATGGCAGATGAACCTGAAGTACTGGATTCTTCCATTAATAGCGAAGGCGTCCTGGATTCCGAAATATTCTGTGCGCCAAAGGACCTGTGGTTGGAGGGAGAGTGCTTGAAGAGATGAGCTGAGAGAGGGAGATAAAAAATAAGAAAGGTGGATAGAGAACATGTATAATAAAGAGGGACTGAGTCTGTGAGAATCCTTTAGTAGATTGATACTGGCATACCTTTCATTTCGTTTGAAAAGGCAGCTGAAAGGTAACGAAATCATGGGATGCTTAATTAAGATAGAAAAGTTGGGTATAAAAAGTAGGCCAGATTTTAGCCGGCCACCTTTCTTTATTTCGTGTTCTTTGGTGATTGTTCGTGAATAATGGTTTCTAGTTCTGATGATGTCCGTCACATGACGGACGAAAGCTAAGCACGGAGTCACCGGGGTCGTAGAACGGTGAGCCGAGGTCTTCGTTACACAATTCAACAGACAAAGGTCTAAGGCAACCCTGCTGTCGTGTCCAGTGGGGCCAATCTACAATTCCTTTCGACCCTCCTCATACGAGAGGAAAGGTATTCCAGTATCGAAAGGAAAATTATTTTCGGTTTTAGTAAGTTGTAAAAGTATCACTTCCGGTGA